AACGGGATCTAGTAAAAGTTTAATATCACATGAATTTTTAAAACGAATCAGGAGGAAAATCAACAAACCATCAGTAAGGAACTTAGTAGATGTATATAGACAAAGAAAACATCCATTAGGTGTAGTAGAAAACCTACCTATTGAAGTCGAAGGAGTCAAATTCTAATTGACATAGAAGTAACAGAAGCAAGAGATTATACAGTGATAGTAGAAACAGATTGGCTAGCTAAAGTAAAGGAAAAAATAAATTTAGAACATGGGGTTTTTGAATTTGATTGGAATAATAGTAAAGATAGAATGACAATTACGTGCTGAAAGAGAATGACTTATATCAATAGACAACCAACACCTTTGGATAGAAGGGGTAAGGAGCAATCCAGAAGACCAGGAGGCTTTAATTTAAGTGACAATGAAGAAGAGTATGAACCTGATGAGATAATAGAAGAAAAAAGTTATATAGAGCAAGATAATATGGATGAATCACATATTGTCAAAATTGAAAAAAACTGTATCAGCATAGAAAAGAAAGAAAAATCTATAGAAAAGTATAGGCAAATTAGAAGGAAGATTCAGGCAGAATATGAAAAGATTGGTAAAGAATTAGAAAATTTGAATAAGCTGTATTTATATAGAAAATCCATAAATCAAGAAGTGAGTAATTATTTCAAATATAGAGAAGTAATTGAGAATTTGAAAATACTGGAGTGTTTAATAAATGATATAGATAAGAAGTTAAGAATACAAAAAGGTACTGAGGAGATAGATGAACTAGAGAGAAATTAACAAGAGCAGGTCAGAAAATTATTAAATGAAAATGAGGATTTGTTCATGGAAGGATTGATACAGCTGAAAAAAACGTAATCTTGAGATACACCAGATTAAATTGAACAAAGAGGCACAACCTATAAAGCAACAACCTTACCAAATATCTTATGCTAAGAATGAGTTTATTACACAAGAGGTCGAACAAATGATAAAATATGGGATAATTCAGGAATCAACAAGTCTGTGGAGTTCGCCTGTAGTATTGGTAAAGAAAAAGAATGATAAGACTTGATTCTGTGTAGATTACTGAAAATTGAACGCTATAACAATCAAGAATTCCTATCTATTACCTCGAATCGATGATATTCTCAGTTCTCTAAACCAATCTAGGTGGTTTTTTACTT